TTTTGTGTTGGTGTCATTAGATAATGTGACAGGATAAACATGCGAACGAATAACAAAGTATACAATTTAATAACGAAAAAATTTTAAAATTAAAACCAGCAGTATCCTACAGTTTTTTAAAATGAATTATCTAATATTTCTTTAACGTAATCCAACCCTACCTGACCAAAATTGCATAGAGCATATTTCCAACTAATAATTCAAAACCCAATTGCTAATTATCAAGCAATTTATGTAAATCGTACCTATAATGCAAAATAAATTTAAACAAATTTAATTTCTATTACATGTCTAAACAAAATAAAATAAATTTATTAATTGTAGCCCGAATTGAGATCGAATAATCAATTCAAACTCAAATCGACAATGCATTCAAAACTGTAAGCATTATAATAAAAATAATCCAGATAGTAAGCTGAGAATAAAATAATTTTTAAATAGTGAAACGTATTCTAAATTGTAAAAATTAAATTCCGATATCCGATTTATAGAAGCTACAGAAGCTTAATCAAGGAACAACAGAATTTTAAAACCGTTAGAAGAAAATTTGGCAAAAATAACTAAGCAAAACGTCAGCATCAATATATTTACAAGAATACGTAAATGTGGATTGAATATATTTGTGGAGATAACGAAAAAAGGATTAGGTTTACCTCACGCATCTTACCTGTAAGCTTAGCCTGTAGTCGAAGAAATCGAAAAAAATGTGGTACCCGTTCCAGGTGTAAACAATAACAATGCGAATAAGATTGCAATTGACAGTTAAGTTTTGAAAATATATAATTTCATGTGCATCAACAGAGTTAATAAGCCTCCCAACGCAATAGTGGTTAGTGACTCTGACTAGAGTAGCAAAGGTCTCAGATTCGATTCCCAAAAGACGACAGGGATTTTGTAAATGTATAGGTCTTTGCGCTATGGGGGCAGTCTAAATATATGGCCAGTCGAGAAGTCCTCTCGTATGGCTTGTTGTTAGAGAAAGAGAAGGGAAGACTCTCTGACCGTCCTCACCTCCGTTGTGTATTCTCACAAAATTGGGGAGGGGGGAGCTGGACAAAATCGACTGCCACCAAGATGGTGTCCAAGCCTCTTGCCAGTGACAGATGTAATCTTGTAGTCCTTGCAACGCTAGAATTCGTCTTGTTCTGATTACGTTAGACAAGTAGGATTAGTCGTAACAGCCAACTAGTTAACACTTTCCGGCACGCTACCTTTTACAGTTGGAGTTTTGCGAAAAAAAAAAAAGGTAGGCAGTCAAATTAGGCCTAGACGAGTACGCAAGTAAAATTTTGTGAAGATAGTACTTATCGTTTAATTCTTTGGGTGTGCCCAAAGTGGGCACACTGATTGGGAATAGAGCTTCGAAAAGAGTGCTGAAACGAGCATTGTTGTCAGTGAACTCACCGATGAGATGCGGAGAAACAAAGAATACAGACTCTCGGTTGTACTAGATTATCGGTGAGCCCAGTCAGGGCACACCTAGGGTTCGCCGTTTAATTTTAGGCAAGATTCCAAGGTAAAAATTTAAAACTAATATAGAATAAGGAGATTAGAATACAGCCAAAAAAAACAAGATGGAAATTTCTTTTCAAACATTTTATTTTATACCCTAAAAAATCTGGAAGATTTCTTTGAAAAATGAGGATCTTAAAAAACTAAACATGGCTAAAATATATGGACTGGTTTGTGTTGAGCTGCCATCTACTATAAATAAAGAAGGTTCAGAGTAACCTATAAATCCTTTTTCATTCAATTTTTCTGTGCGTACAGAAGGAAATTTTTAGGTGTGTCCAGATCGGACACACTGTGCCGCAAAGGGTTAAGACAAAATTTCTAAGCTGTCTTATTTCAACCAAACTGGTTAGTCGACCAAAAGGAAATAATTTAAACAAGACAAATAAGTATTAATTTGCTGAAATTATCAATCAATTATCAGAAAAACGTTCTGAAAGCTGAAGAATTTCCTTAAAATTTATTAAAAAATAACTCGCAGAATTAAATCTGTCAATTTAATTACAATTTAATTAAATAACACAAATTTTATGAATGAAAAGAAGTGATAATTAAGTATTCCATTATTAATATTTTCCATTCTCTCACAATTCTTTTAAAATTTTGCATCTACAGAACTATTACATTCTTAGATCAGTTAACTGGATTCTTAGATCACTTCACTAGAACTCCACTAAGCCTTGCCACTACAATGTTACTTGTCAATTTCAGTTAACGAGTTTTATTTCAACCCTCTTATTTATCAGTATTTTATATGCATTTATATAATTTGTTTTTCTCTTTTTTTTCCTATTTCCTCAAATAATGCTCCTAAATGCTAGTTTTATTATATATTTATGATAAGTGAATAAATGCGATAACAACAGAAGAATTTTTCCCGTGTTCAAGAGCTGTGCTAAACTCATTTTAAAAGGGTGGTAGATCTGTTTTTTAACAATATTTAGAAATGAAAAAATGGCAAACTGATGGATAGAGTTTTTTCTTCGACAATAAAATGATGATTGAAAACATTCCGGGAGAATAAGACGTTTACTGGTGATGCCCAAATTAGGATTTTATTCTATTCAAAGAAAGACCTGTAAGATTCCTTTTTAGCTACATGTTATTTTTATATTACTCTTCTTCTGTACTCTTCTTTAAGTTATGAACTATAAGGACTGGTGCCTTTTTATTTTCACCTCTTGTATCCGTTATTTTAGATTTCTGTTTAGTTGCGGAGACGACAAATCCTCAAAACAAGAGAAAATAAAAGATATGTGATTAGACAGTTAATTAGGTTTAATTTTACAGACTTAATTTCGTCTTTAATTTGCGTAATCTTGAATAATATCTGCTTTTTATCCAAACCTGGTTCTATTAGGCCTTCTCTTAGTCTTTTAATTTTGAAAGTAAGCTAAAAAGCTGTTAGTTAAAGAATTAGCCATTGAATCTAGTAAAGTAAAATAATGGTTTCTAAGCAAGATTTATAGAGTAAAACTAATAGTTCTATTTTCAGAGCATGCGCTAGTTATAATAGAAGTACCAAGCATATTTCATATCAGAACAAAATATTTAAAAAAAGCGTATAAGAATACTAAAATTAACTTACAGTTTGTAGTGTTTTAAACATTCTTATATGCTCAACTTGTCTTAAAGGGCTCAACCTGAGAAAAAAACAAGTTTTTATTAGCAGAATAGGCAAGGAAGCAAAAGTTCCTACTAACGCTTTCTTATTTATTAGTTGGTTAGGTTAGGTTATTTATTTACGACAAAGCCTCGAGGGCTATCTGCTTTAAGGGTGGGGATGCCTACGTGGATGACTTTCTAAGGGAAACTGGCTCGTATACACGTTACACATGGGGAAAACCACGAAAACACCCGTGCAGACAGCCCATTCGCGGGATTCATTCCGAACTACCAGTGTTCAACGATTTTACCGCTCGGCCGCTGGTGGGCCGATTTATTAGCTGAATTTCAAAATAAAATTCTAAAATTGCACTGCTTATCTCGTTCTTGCAATTCAGGTACTAGTTAATACAAACATATATTTATTTTCTAAAATCTAAACAACAATCCAAATTAAATAATTAACAATGTATTCAAGTTAATTAATTAAGAGTAACTAACTATAAAATATCTAATAATCAAGCACAGCATAAAATCATTATTTCGATAACTATGTGCCGGTAAACTTAATACTCTGCAAATAATAAATTTGATTTATTTTGCCATTATGAACTTTATGGAAATTATAAAGCAGACGTACAGTTAAACAAATGTAAAGAAACACTTTATGGGCTGAAGTCTAAAACTTATCTGGTATTTAGAACTGATGGAAAACATTTTCATTTATTTTCATATTATATAAACAGTCTGATAAACTTCTGAAATATACTGATACAGAATCTTTAGGAATGAAAATGTAAATGAGCAATAAAAATTTTAGAAAACTACCTGCAAAGAAAATGGTCACAAGTTTTAAAAATTCCTTTAAAACTCGTAATAAATTTACCTGTTATGCGTTTCTTTAGATGATCGCTTCCTTTTTTAACTATATCTTTGAATTTCTAACGTAATATTTTAATTAATGAATATCATATTGTAAACTAAAACATGCTTAATAAGTATTAAAACACCTCTTGAATTTCTTGAAACTTTTATCCAAAGCTAATTTTTCAGCCGCAGTGAAAAATGTAATATTTCCTCACGCTATAGTGAATTTCTTTAGAAACGGAGAAAACAATAATAGCGTGAGAAATAAAGCTATTTTTAAAAGAAATTCGAACATGGTGTGCGTGTTATGGCAACATTTTTAATTTTTTTTTCTGACAGTGCCGTCTTATTTCTTGTAAGGTTAATATTAAAATACTAAAATGCTTGACTATGTAATTCTGAATGATTGATTTTTACGCAATCATGTGAAAGCGCTTTGGTCGCATATTGCTAAGTGATTTGAAATTGCGGCTGAACTTTAATCTTCCATTCTGCAAGTGGGTGGGGCCTTCATTGAAGCAAACGTTTACTGGTTTGAAACGTTGCTTGATCAAACGTTGGAACGTTGTGTGTGTGTTGTTTGGAACCTTGAATTCAAAAAAAAAAAAAAAAAATCATGACAGTATTATTTATGACATCCGTGGAAAAGAGCCTTTACATTCAGATACTAGACAATACAACAAGCACATTTATTAGATTTTTGCTGAACATTATAGTTTTCAATTATATGCATAAAAATGCAATAATCTGCGTTTATTTGTAAAGTAGTTTTTAACCAAATTCGACTTTCTTGGAAATAAACAACAAAATAAGGAAATAAAATGGAATTAGTTTTTTAAATAAATAACAATTCTTTTTTAATTAATATTTTAGAAGTAAATTATTTTTTGTTTCTAATAATTACTTAGGGCTTCATTCAAATACAAGCAAAATATGATGATCTGCTATATTTTGCGTTTTATACTCGTAGGTTATCAGTTTTATCCCAACATAAAAATATTTTTCTTTTTTTACAGAGCTCTATCCATTAATCCGGAACCGAAAATAATGGATAATTTAGGCGTCCTATACATAAGTGCTGGAAGAATTGGGGAAGCAAACAAGTTATACAAGGAAATGCATGAAAAGTATGGAAACTACTTGGAAGGGAAGATTCACTTCGTAAGTTTCACGGCATTTTACTTTTATTACTCTTAAACTATTTATCCTATTAAATGCCTTTTCAAAACGCTTAATGCATTAGTTTGGATTCAAATTCATTTGAATGTCATTGGCAGTAGATAACTCAAGGATCTTTTATTTCATTCTGCATTACAAGAAATTGCTCACATTTCACTTATCGTTTACTTTATATCAAACGATGACCTCCTTTATGCTCAATTCTAACGTAGGGAAGATATAATTAGTTTGTATCCTGAATAGGTAATTCACACTTTGATAATAACAATGCATGAATAACGCTTTAGATAAATGAGATGATATAAACCCACATGTTTCTAAGATTAGATTGAACTGAACGCAATAATATCGCGTGATAGTATGAAAAGCTTCTCTGTTTTCAGGATTAGGCAATGCTACCTAAAAACAACCTTTTATATTTACCGTGTCAACTAAATATTACAAAATACCGTAAGCATATTTAATTCATTCAGATCATCAAATATTTGAGTTCCCTCTTCAATGTGTTGAGCTGTTAGCTCTGGCTGTTATAGAATGCTGTTATTGATCGTAGATGTCAAAGCATCCATTGTGTGTTATGTTAAGATGCATATCCGTTGTTAGTTGCAGGTTTCCTTACAAATATATTGTTTCGTTATAGGGTAGTTTCCATGAAATATGTTTGCTATTAAATACACAGAATTGAGTCATATGCTTAACATTGCGAAATAACGAGATGCAACTAAATAAGCTTTACGTCAAATTAAACACGCCTCATTTTGTTTAGTAAAACTTAATATATCTTTTCGTTAGGGACAGAAAAGAAATGTATTTTGTATATTTGACAGAGATTAAATCTTAATGTATTGGTAACTATATTTTATGATCTAATGATAGTTATAAAGGTGTATTCAGTTACAAAATTTCAGAAACTTACTTGAACTGATTTGATTGCTCTCCATTTCTATTTTATGGCTTATCTCTTCAACTGAGAATGACTTTTAATAGTACAAATTTTTTTGAGTGGTAAGTAAAAAGGATACTAAAACTGCAAAATGTTATGCTTTTCCTTTTATGAAAAATAACTAAAATCTGATCGTTTTGTAAACTACAAACTAACATTCGTCCTTGTACTCAGTTCAAATTGTATCTATCAACTTAACGTCGCTTAAATTTCACTTTACCTTCAAAAACCCTTTTTCACTCATTAAAAGTGTCTATATAGTTAAGGTTGTTAATTTTCCTAATACTTTAATATAATATAAACAAATTTTTATTATTCTTCTCCTGTGATATGAATAAAAATATGTGAATCTGACAGTGCTTCTGCTGTTGGACACGAATATGTGACTGAAATTTTTTCGCCTAAGGTTTTTTGGATTCATAGCTAGCATTTTATGAGTTTTTATATTTTCTCGAATAAAATTATCTAGGAAGCAGAACTACCTGTTTACATGTACCACTTGGCTTATAAAACATATCTGTTAATGGCACAATTGAAGTCGGAACTTCAATGTCCTTGATAAATTTTTATGGTACCAGAAATATCCTGAGGAAAATAACGCACTTATTGCCCAGAAGCCAACAAGAAGTAACCGATATAGAAAAGAATAAATGATTAAAAGATATAACATAATATGATGTACCTATAGTTTTATGTACTGATAGGCATCGAAACTGCTACTTTATTAAGGAGTGATAAAAGAAAAGTCAAATTTGCATTAAAGGTATTGTACGCTGGAATATGCAAATGATTAACATTACAGTACATGCGGGCAAAGCACGTACCAATAACGTCTTATGTATAAATTGGACGATTGCATAAATGGTTTTCCATTTAGAAACCAAATATAAAGTGGTTGTTTACATAAATGACGTGAATGAAGGAGAAACGCCAAGCAGCACTTGTCGGAATTCGACCGTAACTTATCGAGACTGTGGTTTATATTTATGCAATACTGCTACTCTTTTGATTAGTAGTTCATACCTCTCACAGAATATGGAATCCATGGGTCTGAGAAGGTAATACTGAACGCGATGCAGGATCTTAGCGGCATAAGGCTTAAGAGAGAACAACCATATTGCCCTTTGGATCCTCCGGGATCGTACAGCTACGGCACGTACCCAGAGTCAGGAACGTGGCTCGTGTGATGATCCGCCAGTGCGATCGCGTGCGCAATTCCAAAGACTAGGATAGTGATTATTGTTGCGGTTTCCCTTGACGTTGCTGACAGGAGCACCTAAAGGAGTGATGAACGTGTGCATTGATAAAGGAGTGGCATCATGTACGTTTCAGACGAAACACGGTTTTACGTACTGCATTGTGACGGACATATCCGTGAGGGGCATCGAACAGAACGAAAGTTCCTAGCTTACATTAGTCATCGTCATAAGATCTCAACACTTGATGTGCAGGTATGGGGTGTCATTGGCTACATACCCTGGTCACCTCTTGTTAACATAGTCGTCAATGTGGAAGATCGCCGTTACATTTCTGACTTGTTAAAGCCCATAGCTGTGCCTGTCTTCGAGACCCGCTTGACGCCATTTAATAAGATAATGAGCGACAACATGTTGGCCGTGCTACCTTCACCTTCCTCTATCCAGAGGGTTTTCAACTGTCGTTCTACAGATCTCTTAGCCATTGCGAACATCTTGTCATAGGTTTCCGAGAAACTGCAACGCAAAAACCAGACAGCCACTACGACTGACAAACTATGGCATAAAGTTGAAGTTGCATGGAATGAAGTATACATCTGTCTGTCATCCAAGCTAGTTCGACTCGATTCCAGCCGGCTTGCAGCCGTTGTTACTAACAGACGTAGTAGTTGTTTGTACTAAACTCTGAATGCTTGTTTCCCAAACCACCTGTAAATTTAATCTTGTCTTCTCTCTGTTATACGGTATATGTGCAATAAATTAGATTCTGCTATTTCCTTCCTAGTATAGCAATTTTTTGTCCAACAATGTATGACTTTGAAAGGTAATCCACAATTTTTTTACACTTCTGTGTTCTAGATTCCCACAGAAAATTTAACGAAATTTTCTTGAAAGCTTGGTATGTCACCTTTTAGGCTGGTCAAAATTAGGGCATGCATTTCTTTCATATCCATAGCTTAATTGAAAATAAAGTGCTTCTTTCTTGAGAACTGAAGCGTAATTTGTTGTTACAGGTAACTGAGAACCAAGAATGAAACGTAAAACCTGGAAGTAAAGCATTGAAAGCACTCTATTGCAAAAATAAACTTAATGTAACTGAAACTTAGATGCAACTACATATGCCTTTTTAAATGTATTCGCCTGGTCTTAAGGAGCTCTTGCACATTATGAAGTGAGATCGTTCAAAAGCTCTAGATGGAAGCAAAATCCTTGAAATCAGCATACATGAAAGCATAGCAAACTAATAATTGGGTAGTTCAGAGCTGTGATTAGGATAAACTTTAAAATACAGATAAAGCAAACCCGCATATGTACAGGGAATGTGAAAGAATTTAAAATTGTTTAAATTTATAATGTTATATTTTATTTCAAAAGCTTACTTAAAAGTTTTATTTTAATTTTAAATCTTGTAAACAGTTAGATTTCGCCTTATTGGAAACATAACTGGTTTTACCTACATACGAAGGAAATTTCTTGTATTACTTTCAGTATTTTCCCTGACTAAATGTGCACTGAAAAAATAATATATGATGGGCAAATTCTCAATAAAGCAACCGTATTACATGATAATAATCTTCAAAAAGTTAATGCTTTGGAATAGTTTTATTTTAATTCAATAAAACATCACTTAGTTCTATGGTACTTTGAAATTGCATATTATTTACACTATCTTTAAAATGGTAAAACGTGTTTTTCAGTGAACTCTAATTAGTCTTTATGTTTAAATTACTTGGGCATTTCACTCAGAGCGGTCCAAGCTTATGCTATTCTGTTTTTATAATACGTGACGTATTCAGAACAGAAACGTCTTACATTGAAATGGAGTTACAAATGTAAATGTTTTTCTTCCTTTTCTCAAAGGCTCAAGTTTTAATGCAGGAAAGAAGCTTTCAACAAGCTGAACAACTTCTTCAATCGGTTGTGCAGGAGAACTCCACACACAGAGACGCTCTGCACCAGTTGTCATTGTTATACAGCCAAGTCAATCGAACAACGGAGGTAAAAATAAGACTACTCTTAATTTGTTTCATATTACTTTAACCTCTTCGTCGTCCGTAACGCGTTCAAGTGAAACTTCCGCAGGGCGGCCGTATCGCGCCTCAAGCGTTCTTCTACATTTTAAAACTTTTAAACGTTTAAAATGCTTTCTAAATGTTTACTTGTTTGAGTTTTTATTTTTGTTTGTTCTAATACTTCCTAGAGGGTAGCACTAAACAGGCATTCTATTTCTAATTGAACTTGCCCCGGGTTTTATGAATATTCGCGCCATTTTACATAAGATACAAGACAGTGAGAGATGGCTTCAACGTCTACTCAGCAGAAAAAGAGACAAAATGAGGTTGTGAATTGGAAAGACAAGAAGGATATACGTTTGATGAGTACAGTCCATAATAACTCGATGATTGATGTTGGAACACGGAAAAGAATTGTAAAAAAAAAAAAAAACCAATAATTGTAAAAGATTACAACAACAAAATGGGAGGAGTGGACCGCCTGGATCAGATGTTATCAAATTATCCTGCTGTTAGAAATAAGCAGAGATAGTTTTATTTTATTCATTATGCTTTATTTCCTTATAATTTTACTTAATATTCATTGACATTCATCCACTACGAAAGTCATGTATGAAAAGTTATGATGTACAGAGAAAACAACATTACACGCTACGGAAAACAGATGGCCGCTGGGGGGGGAATTTTTGCAGACAGGAGAGGACAGCGAAAGGGTTAAGTAATATGTATGATAGCTACCTTGAGTAGTGCAAAGTAATGTAACTGAACTGAAAAGATCGAAAGGCTAAGCTATAAACTTTTCTTATAGTAATATTATAAATATCTTTTATGTCTCTTAAATACCATTAGCCAAAATAAAACAATTTCCACAGTGATGCTCAGAAAGACCATAACGATATATAAAATGCAGCGTTATGCATTACTGTGCACTATATTCCCAGAAATTCTGTAGCTTTCTGAAAAGCTTTCAAAATCAATAGTGTTGGAAAGCTTATATTCATGTATGTTTTCGACCCTCTGTTGAATTTTGTGGAGAATTTGACATTAGATTTTTTCTGTCACACGACATTTCGAAAACGTTTTATTGTAGCATGATAAATAACTATGGGTAATGAATGCTCAGAAATGGATCTTGTGTCTGCAGGCATAAACTTTTGTAACTCTAACGCTTACATATGGAGAGTTTAAAAATGCATTTTTGCTTAAAATTCTCATATACATTTAACGAATGAGAAATGTAAACTTAAAGTATTATAAAAAATAATTCGAAGTGGAAAAAATATTATTCAATTGTTACATTAATATATTTCTTTTTTTATTTTCGCTCAATAAAAGTTATTTTTGAATATCAAATTCGATGCATAATACTATGACCTGCATAACTTTCTGAAACGTATCACACATTGCCACTGATCTAAGATTTTATGTAAAATATTTAAATAACAATATTATTTCATTTATTCACAGAGGGATCTCTAGTAAGTTTAGAAGTGCATAATAGCATCGCATTTCTTCAACTTTTGAGTGACCTTACCTGGTGAGTGGTTTTATACTATATAAAAGTCTAGTATGGACACCAGACTTCCTTGTACGTCTCTTTAAATTATGCATATTGCTGCAACTCATTTAAACGAATTTACCCGAATTAATCTAACGTAATTAACCGATACTTCGAGCAAGTTGAAAATGACATAAAACATTGCAGTTTTTGCAATTAAATATCCCGGTCACCTTTTTCTCGTACGGAATTTAAACTTCTTATATTCTTATTTTTTTCATGACGAATGTAACACTTTCCCAAATATAGATTAAGGTTGCTATCGATGGATCGGC